TTCAAAGCTTATCCATTGACCTTTACTTCATAGATTTTGTCGCAAACTGTCAGATTATATTAACAAGTATTTTTTATGCGTGGCTGTTAAAAATTCAGGTTTCCTTCCCTCTCTTCTGAGAATCCTTTGAACTACATGCGGAGTCCGCTGTCCAACAAATACTTTGAGGAAAAGTTGATAGAAAATGTAAAAACGATAAGATTTTGAGGTAACAAAAATCATAATTTACACTTATCCAAAAAAGAAATCAAAAAATCTCCTCTATATTCGCTACCAGTGAAGAGCGGAGACAATCGGAAATTGTCCAAGTGGTAGCAAATGCCAGCTGCAACCACTCGCTGGCAAGACTGTCAAAGACTTCCTTTTGCTTACAACGAAGCTTATAGTTTATAACGAGTTTGACTTTTTGGCATACGCCAGCACCAATTTTACCATCGAAGCGTATGAAAGAATTGCAGAAGGACTGGTTCTTCCGTCGACGGAATCTTTACACTTATTCATCTTGCAAAACGTTATTGTCAGGGCAAATTTTTTTTTGTCTATTATCACTTACTAATTTTTCATAACAGATCCAAATTATTGCAACAATTATCAGTCATTATCATTTCTAGCAGAAACATCCGTTACATTTAAAAATGGTGTATGCGCCCCTGGAATCCATTGAATTTGTACTGCAGCCTCTGGCCTCCTGAAAGTTTCGGGAGATTCCGGTAATGACGATGGTGGCACTGCTGCACGCTGACTCCGGAGTGATCGTTGTACGGGACAGACTAATTCACTATGCTTGTTGAGGTAACTTTTTAAAGCGAATAGTTTCCCGCATCCTCGGCATTCATATTTTTTCACACCTGCAAATCAAAAACCGCTTAAACATCAAAAATCGAAAATGCTGAAGCCTCTGAGCGGGTTATTCTTTCCAAAGGCAAAACAAACGTGTGGGATCGCCAGCAGGCTGGCCAATAAACGGTGCATTATTTGTCAAAGTGTTCGGAAAAACTGTCAGTCGCATCGTTGGAAGGCAACGCAGTAGACTGTAGCTAGTACAAATATCGTAGAAAAACAAGAAAACTTGTAAAAAACATCTTCCAAAAAACAAAAATTGATCTTTTTTGGCTAGTCATAATGAAGATTTTAATTGCAGCTTGTTTCTAATGTTTTTTCAAATTTATTTCCATATCAATTCCAATTTAATTTCAATCCAATTTAACTTTAATTTAATTTCATACCAAATGACCAGGAATGTCTCGATTTAAAAGCTTTGAGCGTTTCGCTAAGTTCTATATTCAAAACCTGGTGTTGCTAATTTGCTACTAACATTTTTGTGATTTGCAGAAAAAATTATATATAAAAACTAAAATTTATTATTAAAATGGGTTTTAATTCAATTTTTTTCTAACATTTTAGTTTAACATTGGCAAAAAACTGGATTATAAAGAAAAAAATGTGTATTTTTGAAAACAAAAAAAAACATGGATGATAATTCCTGTTGCATGCACACTGATGCGTATGATAATTTATTACACAATCCTGAAAGCATTTCTCCGGAAAAATATGATCCTGGTTGGATTATAGGAATGAACGATT